GTCCAGGGATGTCACCACGTCACCTGCCTTCCATTCCCCCTGGCAGGTTTGCTCTACTATGCCGGGCACGGCTATGAAAATTTCGGCAACAGCTTCATGGTGCCCATCGACGCGCCCAGCGCCTACACGTCGGCGCACTGCCTGTGCGTGCAGCGGGTGCTGCGGGCGATGCAGGAGCGCCGCACCGGCCTCAACACCTTCCTGCTCGACATGTGCCGCAAGAGGTGACCCAGCCCTGCCACCCGCCCAGGGACACACCTGCTCGGGGACATCCCAGCACAGGGACCCGTGGGTGCTGGCTCCTGAGGGAGCGGCGCAGGGCACCCCTGGGGTCCCGTCTAAACCCATTGTCTTTGTCTAAATGCCCCAGAACATCACTGCCCCTCTGAGCTGGCAAACACCACGATGGGTGGGCAGAGGGGCACAGGGCAGCCCCTGGGCTCTGGGGTGCCTTGGGGTGGGCTTTGGAGGGGGGCAGTTCCTGGCTCTACCCAGCATCATTCTCTTGCAGGAACCTCAATGACGATGTCATCCCGCAGGTCGGGGCGCTGGAGGTCACGGCCAATATCGTCTTTGGCTACGCCACGTGGGTCCCCTCCCGCCATCTCCCCAGCATGGGCAGCGGGGCTGAGTCTCCCTTCCTGGCTCAGAGTGGGGCAGGGGCTCAGCCACCCTGCCTGTGTCTCTCCCCCTCCTTGTATCCCTCTGCTCAATGCTGGAGGTGGTCGGCAAACAGCAGCCCTGAGTCCCTCACAGGGCAGGAAGGTGTCCATGGCACTGCTCAGCTCTGGGCAGCCCCTGAGGGCATGAAGCCCTGAGGCTCCTCTGGAGCACAGGGATTTGGGGTGGTGATGCTTGTGATGCTTTAAGCATCCAGGATCCAGCCATGGTTCCCACCTGTCCCTGGCACGGTGGCCAGATCGTGAGATGGGAACAGGAGCCAGAGGTGCCCATCTCTGGCTTCCCCAGGACTGTCGTCCTGTTGGGGTCCAGTTCCTGGGGAAGTGCCAGAGCCCAGAATGCAGCCAACTGCTGCCCCATCCCTGCAGGTGTGCGGATGCTGAAGCCTATGAGCTGAGCCAGGGCGAGCTCTCCAACGGCATCTTCGTCACCTTCCTCAAGCGCTGGCTGCTGGAAGACGAGAAGATCACGGTGCTGCTGGACAAGGTGGCCGAGGGTGAGTGGGGAGTAGTGGGGGACAATGACCCCCCTGGTGGCCCCTGCTGACCCCCTGTGCCACGGCAGACATGGGCACGCTGGAGATCACGCGGGGCCGGCAGGCGCTGGAGCTTCGCAGCAACCTCTCAGAGAGACGAGCTCTGACGGACCCCATCCGCCCCCCGGGCCAGGACGAGACCTCTGCCAGGAACCTGCAGTGGGCCAAGGCTCACGGTGAGTCACAGCCACCCCGTCCAGAGCTGGCACCTGGTGCGGGGACAGCCCGAGGTGCAGGGAGAGGCTGCAGGCAGCACCCGCCAGGTTCCTCCCAGCTGGAGGAGAAGCTGGCACAGAACCACCAGCCCGGAGGCAGGACCACCGTGTCAGCATCCCTGCTCTGGGGTGACCCAACGGTCTCCTCACCTGTGGGTACAGCTCCAGCCCAGAGCCCCTGCAGGTCCCAGCCCTGCTGCCCCTGTCCCCTCCCCAGTGCTGCCGGAGAGCCGGCACCTCCGCTTCGACTGCGGCGTCACCGTCCAGCTGGGCTTCGCCGCCGAGTTCTCCAACATCATGATCATCTACACGCGGGTGGTGGCTGCCCCCACGGACATCACCAAGTGCGAGGCCAGGCTCACTGACATCCCTGAGGTGGGGTGGGGCTGCCAAAGCCACACCAGAGTGGTTGCTGGGGAACAGGGCGGGGGGACTCGCGGTGGTTTCCATGTGGGTGCCGCCCGTGGCAGGAGCTGGACGTGGACCTCAAGTGCACCAACAAGGAGAGCCCGGAGGAGGTGGGCAGTCCCCTGGCGCCTGTCTGGAGCCTCGGCTGCCCCTCCTGCTGCCTCTACAGCCGGATCTGTGGCTTGCAGAAGCTGCGGGTAAGGGGCGGGGGCCGGTGTCAGGGGCATAATGTGGCCACGGCCATGCCAGGACATGTGCCCACGGTGCCGGTGCCCCTGCAGCAGGAGCTGGCCTTCACCGTGTGCCTGCAGTACCGCTACCGGGGCATGGACGACTTCGTGGAGGAGCGGCAGCGGGTGAGCGTGGGGCAGCCGCTCATCGCCAAGCTCAACCTGCAGCGGGCGGCCTCGCCCTCCCCACCCCACAGCCCCCTCTCCTCCTCCTCCCCCCCGGGGAGTTGGGGGGCAACAGCCAGCTCGTGGGTCAACACCCCTGAGGAGAACCTGAGCCCTGACATCCCCAGCTCCCACACCCTGTAGAGGGACAGCGCAGCCCCCCCCTTGTCACCGCAGTTCCCTGGAGCCACATCTGTCCTGCTGGGGGGCCGGGGATGGAGGGGGCAGAGGGGACGTGCACAGAGGTGGGTGCTGGGAGGGGCTGAGCCTGTGCCAGGGGGTGTGGGGCTCGCAGCGCAGCACAGCTGGGACTGCTGGCCCCAGCCCCACATCCCCTGGCATGGCAGTGCCAGGCCCATGTCCCCGGGTGTGGCAGTGCTGGACCCACATCCCTGGGCAGTGCCAGCCCCGCAGTGCCAGGCCACCAGCGGGCAGCCCCAGGGGCAGAGTGCCCAGAGCCCACGGCTCAGCGAGCGCGAGGCGTCGCACTGGGGCAGGGTTGGGTTCGTTCAGGCCTGGGAGAAATAGAGAGAAATAAGCAGCTTAGGGGGCAAATCCCACGGGAGGAGATTAGAGCGGGGGGGAGCAGGAGGGCTCCTGCTCTGCCACGAGGGACTGGGAGCACCCCCCCAGTGCCCCCAGAGCTGCCCGTAGCACTTAGTCCCCCCAGGAAGACCCCAGGCACCAGCCCCATCTTGACAGCGAGTGATTTCAGGACAGGATTGGGATCTAAGGGGGGAAAAAAGTGCCATTTTGCTTGGATTTTTCCCAAACGCAGCCCCACATGCCGTGGAGGGCTCCAGTGGGTCTCCCCCAGGAAGAACACCAATAAAAGTGGGCCGGGCAGGAGGCTCGGCACTCCTGCCCCTGCCTTGCTTTGAAATGGCATTTTTTGGGTCAGAAATCTTGCCTGTTCCTGCGGGAAGTGCGGAGCAGCCACCGGGCGCACCCACGGGAGGGCACGCGGGGAACCAAAAGCGAAGGCACCCCGGCACCCCCCCACACCCCCATGTGCCGGGCACACCGGTGCCACCTCATGCAGATTAGCTCATTTAAATAACTCACGCAGCCCCCCAACCCCGAGGAGGCGCATCCTCATCCCGGGGCCCCTCCGCGCCCCCGCTCTCGGGTGGCGGTTGCGGGGCCGGGCTGGGGGAGCACCCTCGCCCCAATTAGGCTCCGATCAAACGAGCCGGGGGTGCGGCGCTCCCGCTCCCCGCGCCAGCCGGCCTTTGTTGGCGCTCGGGAGGCCGAGGGGTGCCCCGGGCTGGCGCCAGCCTCGGCAATTATGTCATGTGAAAAGCGCAGCCCCCATTGAGCGCGTCCCGTCCCCCGGATCAAACCCCATTACTTCCGCAGCCGTTGCTTCATTATCTGCCGGCCGGAGCCCGGCTCTGCCGGGGCGCTTCACCCCATTAGCTGGGCTGGGGGGCCGGGGAGCATCGATTATGCGTTTAATGGGTTGTTAAAGGTTTAATTGTCGCTAACGAAACAGACGAGCAGCGGCAGCCGGGGGACGGGGCACAAGGAAAAGGGTCTCGCCGGGGTCAGTGCCTCGCCTGGCCCGCTGGCATCCCGGCCAGACCCGCCTGACCCCGGGGCTCTGGGCACGTCACGGTTCGGCCCCGGGGGTCTTGGATCGGGGTGAGACCCCCGGGAGGGTGGTGAGAGGGACGGCGGGCGGGCGCGCTGGCACCGAGTGGGGTCTGGGACACGGGGACACGGCGGGGACGGGGCTGCCCCAGCACAGCCCCGGCTGGTGGCTGCCGTCGGGTCCGAAGCAGGAAGATTTCTGGGGAAACATCTTGTTTCAGTGTGGGGAAGGAGAAGGTTGGCCCTCGTCTGGCTTCCCCAGGGACCTGGGGCTCCTGCTCACCCAGGGCTGAGCCCACCTCTTGCTGTCCCAGCTGGGCTTCAGCACCTCAAAGCCACAGTGGGCTCAGCCATGCACTGGGGGTCTGCCGGCCCTTGCTGCCAGTGAGGGGACACTGGCTGTGCCTCAAGCTCTGGCGGGTGGGAAGGCAGGGCCCCCCTGGAGCCACAAAGCCACGCTGGGGACCCCTGGGGCAGTGGCACCTTGTCACCACCACCAGCTCCCATCTGGCAGGAGCCGCTGGCAGGGGGTAAGGTTGGCACACACTGACATCCCTGCTGCAGAGACCCCAGGGCTCCCAGCCGGCCCCCTCCCCTCGCCAGCCCTGGCCATGGGCCACAGGGGTCCCACTGCCACCCATCCTCCCACCAGCACAGTTCTGGCAGCTCTGTGCCACTGGCACCTCTGGGGAGTGTTAGGGCAGGGGGGTGGTGGGCACAGCCCGCGAGGGATGGTCCAGAAGGTGACCTGTGATGAGCCATCGAGGCCACGGTGCAGCCAAGCCAGTCCCAGCCCAGAACCAGGGCTGGACTGAGTCACCCACCCCCTGGACCCAGCCCTGCACACGGCGTCCCGAGGGAGCAGAGCAGGAGGGTGCCCAGGGATGGTGCTCCCATGCCCTCCAATAAAATTCCTTCCCAGCAGAGGCTTGGCAGCCCCACTGTGCTAACGAGGGCACAGGGCCCAACTCCAGCATGCGGCAGCCGTTCATCTTATCTCTTTACTCACGATACAACCGTGCTCTCGGTGCCGGCGCATCGCCCGGCACGATCGGCGCCGTGCCCCGATGCAGCTAAAACCTCCCCCCAAGTACTCCCTACGAAACTAGAGCTTTTCTGTTCAGTTTTGTTTAAATCTGCAGCATTAAAAAAAAATTAATAATAACAGGAAGGGGAAGGGGTGTGAGGAAAGGAGGTGTCCGACCAGGGGGTGGTGCATGGCCTGGTGGCACGGTGGGATGCCTGAGCCTCGGCCAGATCCTCAGCCAGTGCTGGTGCCACAGCGAGGCAAACGGGCTCCCCCAGGGTGCTCCCCTGCAGCGGGGTCCTGCCAGCACCTGACCGGCTCCCCTGCCACTGCCAGTGCTGGCTCGGCGGGGGGAAGACACAGCCTGGCATCCCTGCCCAGCACCGGCTTTGGTCCCGCTGAGCACCCCACTGTCCTCCCTCACCCGCCCCAGGGCTGAGCCGGCAGCGGGGCCAGGAGCCGGGGCCGGAGGGGCCAGAGGGGAACGTTCATCAAATGGGCTGCCAGGTCTTGTCGATGGTCTGAATGTGCTCCTTGGCTTTCATGCGGAGCGAGGCGATGCTGGAGCTCCTCTGGTCCACCTCCTCCAGCGGGTACTTGTCCACAAAGGGGGTGCCGCACTGGTAGGGCGCGGGGGCCATGGGCTGCATGCCCTGCGCCATCGGTGCGGGGGTGTTGAGGAAGGAGTGCCCGCCGTAGGGGGGCTGCAGGGCCTGGGGGGCTCCCATGAAGCCGGGGATGCTGTGGACTGTGGTGGCGCTGGAGATGGGGGATGTCAGCCACGGGTCGAGCGGGAGGGAGTTGCTCATGGGCCCCACGTTGGGGGTCATGGGGGGCCGGTTGAAGGAGAGCACGGGGGTGTCGTGGAGCTTCATGGAGCTGGCCTCCATCTTCTCCTGCCGCCTCCACTTGGCTCGTCGGTTCTGGAACCAGACCTGCGAGGTGAGAGCCAGGGTGAGCTCCACCGTGCCCAGCCGGTCCCTTGCAGTGTGCCCCACACGCTGTACCCCATGCTCTGCCCCGTGGGCTCTATCCCATGTGGGGTGCCCCACAGCATCATGTATGGGGTACCCCATTGCACACGGGCTGCCCTCCAGGGCTCCAGCAGTCCCAGCACACCACACACCTCTGCCAAAGCTCTCCCACAAGCCCCAGAGACCAAGGACATCTCTGAGGTACAGAAAGCAGGAGGTGTCAGCACACAGCCCCTACTCTCACTGCTCCATGGAAATGAGCACCCTGGCCCTGCAGACACCCAGCAGCCCTTGGGGTAGTGTTGTCTGACCTTCCCAACCCCTGGGTCAAAGCTTCTAGATGTTAAAATGCCATAGTTGCACCAAAATCCAGCAGGAATGGCAGGGACCAGTGAGCCAAATCCAGCAGTGACATCTGCCCCGATGGGAACAGCTCATTGGAGTGCTGGTCCCCATGTCCCCAGAGCAGCAGGGTCTGCTGTGAGAGGCAAAGGGGGAGGAAAGATGAACAGCTGGGCAGGGAAGGGTATGGGGCACAAGTCTGATGAGGAGCAGCTGAGGGAGCTGGGGGAGCTCAGCCTGGAGAAAAGGAGGCTCAGGAGGGACCTTCTCACTCTCCACAACTCCCTGACAGGAGGGTGGAGCCAGGTGGGCATCGAGCTCTGCTCTCAGGGAACAAGTGACAGGACAAGAGGAAACAGCCTCAAGCTGTGCCAAGAGAGTTTTAGATTGGATATTAGGGGAAACTTATTCCCAAAAAGTGTTGTCCAGGCCTGGCACAGGGTGACCAGGGCAGTGGTGGAGTCACCAGCCCTGGAGGGATTTAAAAGCCATGTGGCTCTTGGGGACATGGGTAAGTGGTGGCCTTGGCTGTGCTGGAGGAACAGTTGGGCTCGATGGTCTTGGAGGGCTTTTCCAACCTGAGTGATTCTGTGATTCTATGAAACCGGTCATTGCTCAGAGAGCTCAGCAGAGGTGTCCTTATAGTCTGGACCCCCCCAAAACCCCTTGTCTTAGACTAGGGCTGAGGCCTGGGGATCTCAGTTTGTTTGTGCTTTGCTTTGCAGGGGTTTTGTCTCCTTCAGCACACTGGCTCTTTCTCTCTCCAGGGATGGTGGGGACCATACTGGTGGGACCCTGGGCTCTTCCCAGGCCGTGCTGTTCCCCCATGAGCCTTTTCCTGCAGCCCAGGGAGCGAAACCTCCCCAGCCCCACTGCCCCCCCCCCCTCCAACAAGCTTATAACCCCCAAATCTGTGAGGGTCTTGCACTTTCCCAGCCTTAAAGGCCTGGGAGTGGCCTCAAATCAGCCAAGGTTTGGCTGCTTTCCCACGTGAACAGCAGGAGGGATGGGAGCAGCCCCCACCAGAAGGGGAAAAAAACAATCTCTAAAAACCATCTCCCTGCCCGAACGGAGGCTGTGGCCTGTGGGCCAAACTGGGACCCTGGGGGGGAAACAGGCTCAGCCATTAAACCCTTTCCCTGACTTTGTCAGGAGCAGCTCTGCAGAGGTTGCTGCACCCACCTCGAGCAGTGGGGAAACTGAGGCCCGGAGGGAGGTGGCGGCGGTGGAGCCGAGAGCAGAGCGGAGCTCTCCACCGGGGGTCCCTCTGACCCGGCCCAGGGACAGACCCGGGGCGCTGGGGCCGCGGGTGCCCTCCCTACCTGCACGCGGACCTCTGGCAGGTTGACCTTCATGGCCAGCTCCTCACGGCTGTACACGTCGGGGTAGTGGGACTTCTCGAAGGCGCGTTCCAGCTCGTGCAGCTGGTACGTGGTGAACGTGGTGCGGTTCCGCCGGTGCTTCTTCTTGGGCTGCTCCTCCTCGGCGGAGGCCGGCGGGGTGCCCTCGCTGTCCCCCGGCTTGCGCAGCTCGCCCAGGTCCCCCTCGCACTTATTCAGGAACATGGTGGCACCTGCGGGGGAACCGGGGGGGTTGGTGGGGCTGGGGGGCCGTCGGACCCCCGCGCGGACCCCCGGTACGGGGACAGATGGACAAGTGGATGGAGGGGCAGGAGGGTGGGGCGGCCCCAGGAACAGGTTATGCAAAGGAATAATCCTCTCTGGCACTGCGTTATCCCGGGGCTGTGGTGTCCTGGGGACTGACCCAGGGTCCTGGAGATGGACACCTCTGGCACCCTGCACTTGGCTCTGCTGTCAGGTGCCACCAGACCAATGCACCCGTCGGTGCTGAAAGTCAAATTTCCCCTAAAGTGGAGGATTTTATGAAAGAACCACAACTGAGAGCTAACCTGATCTCCCCCTGTCCCGCCCTGGAGGGGACCAAGTCCCTCCTTCCAGACCAGCTCCGTTCCTCCAGCCTCTCCCATGGGGAAATCTGGCCCTGGAGCGCTGGAGGACCCAGCGTCAGTCCCCAGGCACTGAAGGAGTGACCCGGCGCCGTCCCCCGGCTAATAACCGTTTTGGTGACGCTTATAAGCATTTTCAACCCTTGCAACGTTTCATCTTTAAGCTTTTTATCCGGCATCTGAAATCTTCCTGCAGTATTTGCTGGGGATTAAGGGTCTCTTTCCACCGTGAGGATGTCGGCAGACATGGAAATGGGGCGGAAAGCCGTAATCCTGGGGCAAGGGGATGGAGCTGCGTCGCCCCAACCCGCCAGCAGAGACCTGGCTGATGCCCGAATGGGAGTGGGGAGGGGAAAGGAGCATCAGTTCGTGCTGGGAGGGTGTAAATAGGGGTCCCAGAGGGCGGCGGGCAGGGGGTGGGTGCCGGATGTTGCTCAGGCTGGGCACATGCGGGGTGTCTGTGTGGGGAGTGCCCGTGTGAGCAGTGTGACCACAGTGTGTCTGTGCCTGTGGCGGGGTGGGTGTGGGGTGCTACCCACCCACAGGGCGAGTGTGGGGTGCTCAGGGGTGCTTGGAGTGAGGGGTGGGTGTGAGAGGGTGTGCGTTTGGCGGGCTGAGCGTGGGGTGGAATGTGTGAAGCACGTGCCCGGTGTGGGTGTGCCCGTGCGGGGCTGGGTGTGTGTGCAGGGTGGTTTGTGCCACGTGCTGCCCTGGGCAGTGCCGAGGGGCAGTGCCCACGAGCCGAGCATGCAGCACACACAGAGCAGGGTCGGGGCACAGTGTGTGTGTGTGCACAGGAGGGCAGGGTGTGCGGGGTGTGTGGGGTGTGCACAGCGAGTGGACACAGGAGCTGTGGGCAAACTGCAGTGAGTGTGCAGTGCACGCTGCATGTGCAGGGTGAGCAGTGTGTGCAGAGAGTGTGTGCAGAGAGTGTGAGCAGTGTGTGTGCAATCTGTGCAGTGTACGTGCAGTCTGTGTGTGCAGTGTGCGTGCAGTGTATGTATGCAGTCTGTGTGTGCAGTCTGTGCAGTGGGTGTGTGTGCAGTGTGTGCAGTGTGTGTATGCAGTCTTTGTGTGCAATCTGTGCAGTGTACGTGCAGTCTGTGTGTGCAGTCTGTGCAGTGGGTGTGCAGCATGTGCCATGGCTATGACAGTGTGTGTGTGCACTGTATGTGCAGTCTGTGTGTGCAGTGTTTGTGCAGTGTATGTGCAGAGTGTGGGTGCAGCCTGTGCAGTGTGTACAGCCTGTGCAGTGTGTGCAGAGTGTGTGTACAGCCTGTGCAGTGTGTGCAGTGTGTGTGCAGTGTGTGTGCAGTGTGTGTGCAGTGTGTGTGCAGTGTGTGTGCAGTCTGTGCAGTGTGTACAGTGCAGGTTATTTGCAGCGTGTGTTGCACACCCAGCATGTGCACACACACACACACACACACACACACACACACACAGGGCCTGGGTGCAGCGTGGGTGGTGCATGTGCAGTGTGAGTGCAGCACAGCAGACGTGCCTTTAGAGCCCCCCCCAGATGCACCACAGCCCCTCATGGGGTATCTGTACCCTGGGGGGATCCACCCAGCTCCGACTCTGGCCCCGCAGTCTCAGGGTGCCCCAGGGGAGCTGCTAATCAGGGCAGGGGTGCTGGGTGCTGCACCCTGGGGTGCCCCAAGGCAGGGCTGAGGGGGTGCTGGGGGGAGCAGGGACCCTGTGGTCACTGTGTGAGTGTTGGGGTGTGTTCTGGGTCTGGGGACACAGGGAGGGGATGGGGTGCCCCACTGCCATCCCGCTCTCACTCACCCGCTTCTCATTTGCGCAGCTCCGCACCTGCAAGGGAAGGAGAGAGGGGGGGTGAGCACCCAGAGCACCCAGAGCACCCAGAGCCCTGTCTGGGGCACAGACCCCCCGAGGGACACAGCACCCCCTCAGAACCCCCTGTCTGCCCTGCCCAGCCAGGTCCCACGGTCCCATGGGGCAGTGGGGGTGGAGCTGGGGCTGGACGGGGGCTGAGGGGAGTTGGGGCAATGGGAATGGGTGAGATGGGCATGGAGGGGATGGGTGAGAGAACCTGGAGGGGGCTGGGGACAAGATGGGGCAGGTGGGAGGAGAGAAGAGGTGGGGGATGGTGGGGGGACAGGGACAAGGTGCAGGGGTGGAGGTCAGAGCAGGACTGGGGACAGCCCCATGGTCCCCACATCCCGACCCCATCGGAAAGCAAAGGAGGCCAAAACTCCCCAGGGAGCGGCAAACCCCATCCTGGGAGCAGGAATGAGCCAAGAACAGCAAAATAATGGAGCAGGAGTGACCTGGCAGTGGGGTAGCAGCACCGGACCCTGCGGGGTGAGGGGAGAGGGCTGGACCCCCCACCCCAATCTGCCCTGGCCTGGCCAGGGGCACAGCAGTCCCTGGGTGGGGAAGGGGGTCCCTGACAGGGTCGGACTGGAGGTGTCAGCACCAACCGCCCTGTGTTCCCCATCCTCCAGGGACTGGCCTCAGGAGCCCCAGGCCTTCACTGCCAGTGTTTTGGGAATCCTGCCTGAAAACGGGCCCTGCTGAGCTGGGTCAGGGGGAGCTGCTGGATTGCCAGCTCCCAAAGGACATCTTCCTGCAGCCCCTGTCATCCTGGCAGCAGTTTTTGGGTTTAAGCCCTCAAGCTGCAAAACTGTGCTGGGAACCAGAAGGACCCGACGCCTCCAGAGGGTTCTTCCCCCCATCTCCTCAATGCCCCAACCCGTGGTTTTCCTGTGGGGGCTGCCAGCCAGGGGGAGGGGACAGCTGCTGGTGCAGACACCCAAAAAGGCAACAGAAACTACATCCAGCCCTGGTTGAAGTGGGTAAAAAACTCACTTCCTCAGTACTGCAAAGCAGCAGAGCATCAGCAAGGACAAGTGGCCTTCCCTGGCAGCAGGGGATGCGGAGAACACAGCCCTGGGACAGCCCCAGCTTCCACTGGGACCCCTTTCCTTGCCTTTAGGAGCCCATCTGGGTGCCAGGATTTGGCTCCCTGGGCTCAGGCTGGCTGGGATGGGTGGTGGGAGCGTGGGTGGCTCCTGCCCCTGGCCCCACGTAAATCGGGGCGAGTGAGGCTGACTGGTGCCCGCACCCTCTCCCAAGCCCCCAGGGAAGGGTGCCAGCCCCGTCCCCAACCCCGGGCACACCCTGGGGACACCCACTCCCTTCCTCAGCATCCTCCCTTGGCGCCTCGTCCCGAATTGGAATAAAACGGCGTTACCTGCTGGGCCCAACTCGGCTTTTCCAGGAGTATTTAACTTTGCCAGTCCCTCCCGGGAACCAAACAAGCGGCTCAACCTCACCAATCTCGCAGCTTTGGCCGCCAAAGTTGCCTCTAGTCTTCTTATTTGTCACAGAACCGCCGTGCTAAGGCTCGGGAGAATCTTTATTTAGTGTTGCAGATGTCACCAAGGCACCGCAGATTGGAAATGAGTCCAAAGGATTAAGACGAGGTTATTAATTGGAGGCCTTCCCCTTTAAGAATGATTGACAGTTACTTTCTGGACAAGTAATTGCTCTAAATGTCCCCCCAGCACGGGTCCGGGGGGGCAGCGGCGGACAAAGCCCCGAACTGCCTTCCCCACTCGGATTGTCTCCCCACAAAGGCGTCCTGCTGGAGTTTGCCGTGTAATCCCCTCATTACGGGCGAGGAGAAAGAATTAGAAACAGGGGGAGCGGAGAAGAAAGGATGGAGGGGGAGGGGGCAGGATTTCCTTGGGCTGCAGAGGCGCTGCCCCAGGGATGGGGTCCGGGGCAGCGCCCCAAGCCCCGGTGGGAAGGGGATGATGCAGTGGTGGGTGTTGTCCCCCCCCGGCTGGGGAGGGTGAGGCTGGGGGTGGCCCTGTGCTGGTGTGGGTGGCCTCACAGCTCCCAGTGATGCTGCCTGTGGAGCCCTGCCCATGTGGGGAGCAGGGATGGGGATGGGTCTGGGGACAGGGATGGGGATCAGTCGTGGGGTCCAGCTGTGAGGACCCAGTGCAGGGACATGGTCTGGGGACCTGCTCTGGGGTCTGGGTGTGGGCCCAGGTGTGGGGACCTGGTAGAGGGACCAGCCATAGGGACCAGGACCCCTGAACAGCCTTGGGGACCTGATATGGACACCAGGCAGGGGGAGCACTCATGGGGACCAGAGCAGGGGACCAGGCAGGGAGACGAAGTGTGGGGAGCAGCCATGGGGGGCAGCCATGGGGCAGTGCCCACGGGATCAGGTGTGGGGATGATTCATGGACACAGGACCAGGGCCAGGCATGGGGACACCCTGGGGGGACTGACTGAGGGATGCAGTTATGGGGACCATCCCTGGGGGCTGTCCATGGGCCTTGGCCATGGGAGTATGGGGGAAAGGCAGCCAGACTGAGGACTGCCTTTCTGGCTGATCACCATCCCTTTCCTCCCTGCTCCCACTGCTGCCCCTGGACTCCAATGGATGATGGGAACATCATGGTGGGGGGTCTGGGGTTCTCCGGGGTTGATGTGTTTGGTGCTGCCCAGAACCTCCGTCCCGTGGGGCAGATTTTGCCCTTTTCTTTCTTCACTCACTTTTACTTTCTCCCAAAAACCTCTTCCTGCCACCTGCGACTGCCACAGCCCCCAGTCACGTCTCGTCTTCCTCCCACTCCCTTCCCCTCCCCACCACAGTTCCCCTTTCCGATGGCAAACGTCACTGTGGGGGTTTTGGACCCCAGCACCCTGTGCTGGGTGGCTGCTGGCCCGACACGGGTCTGTGCCCTCTCCCTGGGGCTGCTGCTGGCAGGGCCCTGCAACCCCCTCTGCATCCCGGTTTGGGCCCCAAGGCCACCTCATTGTCCCCCGTTGGGGCTGTGCAGCTTCACCTGCCCCGTCTGACACTGCTCTGGGGACGGTGTGACACTGTCTTTGGGATGCCACTCCCCTGGGGACAGCATGCCACCACCCCAGGGACAGGCTGGCACTGTGCTGGGGACAGCAAGGCCCCATACGGGGAGTCCAGGGGGGTCATGGGGATGGGGTGACACCCCCACACCGTACAGAGCTGCCAGGGGGTGCAGGGGAGTGCAGGGAGGTGCTGCCTCTGGGGGGGTTTGGGGACATCCCCCAGCTCATGGATGACGTGTGGGGCTGGGGCTGCAAACGGGCACCTGAACCCCACTGGCCCGGGTGCCCACAGTGATGAGTGCAGGAGCCATGTCTCCCACACTGGTGGCCCTCGTCAGCTTCCCCCAGGGTGCCCCCCAGTCCAGGGGGTGCAGTGAGGTCCCAGGGTGCTGGTTTTGGGGTCGGGGGGCTGCCCAGTTGCCCGGCCCCGGCGCTGTGGCCCGCGGTGTTTGCCGTGCCGGCCCCGCGGCTGCCGTAAGGTGTTGGCTCGCCCGGGGGGAGGCAGCAGGCTGATTTGCCAAATGATTATAATTGCCTTTTAGGAGCAGATAGCAAATTGATTTGCTTCCTCGTCCAAGGCCCGTAATCGCTTCATCACTTTAAAATATTAATGCTATACTTCTTTGCTAGTTTCCCAATTACCCTAATTGAAGGCAAATTGGTTAAGAAGGTGCAATGCAGAGTATCAGGGGGTTTAGTTCACTCAAATGACAGTTTTAAACCTCCCTAATCCTATTAGCGCGCAAAGCTGCTAACGCTT